AATGCTCAGGTGACCTATAAGGCCCGTGGGCCTCTTGTTATATGTTTTGTAGAATTTTATTCATAACAGCACTTCCTCAAACAATAATTTTGATTATTATTTTTAATATTTGCTTTATTATTTATTATATTTATTTGTTAGAAACCTCTCTACACTGCTCATTAACAGATCAAATTCTGTGGTATATATTTATATTGCAATTGGATTATAAGATACCCCTTTATCTAAATTAAAAAAAAAATGAAATCTACAATGTTTTATTCATTTTGTAATGAATTCAAGCAATTTTAACATATTTTAGGGGCCTAATAGGCCAAGATAAATTAAATGAATATATTATACACATGTTTTTCTTAAGCAAGTTAACAATATTATTTAGTGATTTCTGTTCATCTGTATTCATTATCTTTATATTCTGTGGGTTTATGCAAAGTACCGTAGGCTGAAAATCGAATGGCTATGCTTAAAATTTCCACCTTCATACAATAAATTTTCTCAATGTCTAACAATATTTTGCTTGGGTGTCAGTGTATAGAGGGTCCTTAAATTAAGATCATAAACAGAAAACAAATTTTGATTAAAAAATTTAGATGTTAAACTTTTCACATAAAGTTAAAAAAAAAATTCCATGACTGTATCTTAATATAGTACTAAATAAACTTGCAGGGTTTTTGTCATCTCTAGAATATTACTGAAGCTTTTCATTCAAAATTCAATTTTTGACTCATTTTTCTCAGTTTATGGTTCTAGGTATGTACTTTGTGATATACATTTCAGAAGTCCTTAATGTTTTTTAAGGTATTACTTTTTATATATATATATATGGAAGTAATACTGTGAGAGACTGTTAATGGTCAAAATACTCAGTGTACTTCTAAAACTAATATAAGGTGAAACACAAACTTATGGGATTAAAGAAAATATTCGCATACTGTTAAACAAACAAGTTACATTCAGTATTTCAAACTGCAGCTAGGTTTAAAGGATTTCCGTGCAGAACAATAATGATGTCTTCATTAGCAGTGACACACTCAAAGAGGAGTCAAAATAATTATGTTTCAATCAATGATACATCTTCGCTAGCCAAGGGTTTCCGATTCGAAATCTAATTTCGAATCGGAAACCCTTGGCTAGCGAAGATGTCAATGATATTTTTTTTTGATTTGTTAGAAAATTAAACACTATTTTCCACTAAACAATGAAATAATGCCCTCCAGCATAGCAGCAGAAAACATTGCTTGTCGGGTGATAATCCAGAAATATTTACATGCTCAGAATTTATGCATGCACGGTTCAGTGTTACATTTCTTTATCTCAAACATTCAGTATAATATAATAAATACAGCTTGTAGTTGAGGGTAACATTGAATATATTCTACCCTCAAAAGCCATAGTTAACCGTAGCTGCATGGCTTGTCTTGGGGTGAAAATGTTCAATGTTACCCTCAAGCACATGCTGTATTTAATAACAATATCATCGAGATTAAATACAAAATAAGCAATGGTAAGATACAATATGTGCAGAAGAAATAAAGACAAGGTATCATAATGGGTATACAGAAAAGTTTATTGATTCTGTGCATTAAACATATACTGATGTATAGTAAAAATATACATTGTATTTGTTTAGGTCAAAGTCCTTTTATTCCTTCTATTAAAGAATGATTGCACTTAGTGTACAAAAAGTGGCCACCGGTAAATTGCGCAAAAATAAAGTATAGAAACTAGCCTCATAAAGTTAACAAAACAATTCTTCTAGGTCTTAATCGCTACTTTGAAGAATTACAGAAATTAAAAGTGAGTAAAATTAAAGAACGAGGCTGTATTTTGTAAGAGGGGTCAATGCAAATCACGAATCTCCATTGTTATTCAAAGTTATTCCAATTTATAGAGCTGAAATACATAGTGAGCGCATGCTTGCCCAAATTTCTCAAAAGGACAGAAGGTGTAGAACTGTTGGAAATTCAACATATCTAAGGGAGAATTTTGGGCAAGCCTGCGCTCGGGGTAAACTTTTTGAAAAAAGGTACAAAAGGCCGACAGTTTTCTTCACTGTTTACGGGTATTTACATGTCATTGACCTCATTGTGACCTGCTTAATATTCCAATTTACCACGTGATTTGTAGAATCAGGTAACATTGTGAATACAAAAAATCAATAAACCACGTGGTTGTAGATCCGATTGACATTCCGTCGAAAGGCGTCCAACTTAGACCGTTACATGTACATGTACATTTTCAATTAATCAACATAGAATTACCGGTAATTCTTTTTTTTGTCAAGTGTTTCAATAGGGTAACCGTAATGGAATATTAAATTAAACACAATGTAACGATCTTTATTTGTAGTCCTTGGATTAAGGGGGGCAGGTTTGGAGGCTCAACGAGTTTCAAAGATTTAGCTCCCATCTTCGAAGTAGCATCATTCTTCAAAGTGTTTTTGACTGTAAAAATAGGACACAGGGTAGAAGTATGTAGATTGGCATGGAATTCTTAATGGTACAATCCCCCCCCCCCCCCCAAACAAAAAAAAACAATCGCACATACAATTAATAAAATTGTTTTAGTGATAAAATATTACCACATGTAGCATCGCAAAGAAATATATTCCATACACCATTATTTGTAAGAAGTATTTACTGACTGTACTTTAAAAAGTACGGAGAGAGAGAGAGAGAGAGCAGAGAGAGAGAGAGAGAGAGAGAGAATTAAAATTTCGATACGGCACTAATCTTTCAGAATATATAGAAGTTTTTTTCTTTTTAAATATGATTTTTCCCCCGTTTTCATATATGAGTAGGATCAGGTTATTTAAAAACGACCACAAGTTGGGGGATCTAGATTTAAAGGGATCATCTACATCTCAAAGATCCTCCCCAGTACCATCTTTCCTAAAAAAAAATCTGGTGTAATCCTTGAGAAATTCTTTGTGTTTATTTTTCTGTGCATACAGTATGTATTTTGTATTAAATTCCAGAAGCCATTATAACTGGCTAAATATTACATGTTTTCAATCGATCGATGAAATGCCCCGCCTACTCCGAATATTAATGTGACACAATTAAAACCCAACTCGGACAAGCGCAGCATTCCGGAATTAAGGTAACGGGATGTTTCGCGCCGATGCATGGTTCGCACCGCGATGTTTCGCGCCTATTCTGTTTCGCGCTGAGATGGTTCGCCCCGCGATGTTTCGCTCCCAGAACATGAAATGTATGCTATTTATTTCGTTCGTTTTGAAAAAATAAATAAATAAAAATTTATCATGTCAGTTAATATTGATGTAAGTATCGAAATTTTGTAGAATATTTATTAATATTTTGATTGTAGAAGTTTATTTGAAGTACTTAGTCTAATTGTTTATTATTTTTACACTGATAATTATGTTCATAGTAGTTACTTTAGCATACCCCCATCTAATTAAGTAATTCCGTAATTATTGCCGGCTTGGGGAACCTATCAACTTATAATTTGCTGGCTTGGAGAAATACAACATTTTCTGTATAATATCATGAATTACATATTGTAAAAGTATTTCAAATGAAAATAAATAAAAAAAAATCTTATTTCATGTAAAATTCATTGAAACTTCAATTCTTAATAATTAAGAATATATTAACTTCAGATCTGTGTCTATGCACCTATTAAAAAAAGTTGGTGATCTAGATTGTATAAATCAAATGTCCCTTTTGCATACGCATAAATGCTGAAAACTTTTAATTCTTTCAAATTTTATTTCATCATTTCAATGTTAAAATATTTTATTGATTTGTTTAAATGAAAACAATTAGGTTTTTTTGAATGAAAATTGATTTCTGACTCCTGTGAACATTAAATAATTGGTAAAATAAATAAAATGTATACAGTAAGGGGGTTGTCATCTTTTTTGGAACATAATATTGATTAATAATACTGATTGTAAAATTGATAAAATCAGATTCATGTATCATGTAAAACCAGAAAAAAAAAATTGGCCATTTATAAAGCCAAGTTTATCGACTAAGAAAATATGTTTATAGCTCATTAAATTTTACAATCAAACTTCCTGGTGGATTATTCTATACACAAGTTCTCATTAACAAAAATTATATTTTTTCAAGTTCACGCAGATAATTGCTGTACGACTTTATAATTGCTGTAATAAATTAATTCTCACCTTTTGATCTCCAACTAATTACAACTAAATAGCTGAACACACACGCTGAGCAAACGGGCGCCATATCAAAATTTACGATCCGTTACCTGTGGCACCGCATATTATAAAGTCATGATTCTGAGCATACAACACTTATTTATATCTAAGATTTAATAGATGGTCTTAAATTATTACAAAATAAATGAAATATTAAAAAAAAGAGGGGAGATGTTTCGCACCGAAATCGGCGCGAATCATCCTGGCGCGAAACATCGCAGTGCGAAACAGAATCGGCGCGAAACATCCCGGATTCCGGAATTAACACCCAGTACATGGCTTTTTAAATTACCATTTATAAAATATAATGCGCCGTTTTTAGTTTGAATTTTTGCAAGTGATATACCACAAAGATAACAAAGTATGAGTTAGGTGTAAAATTATTACGATTTGAGTTAATAAACCTTTTCGCGATAATTCTCACACATGCGCATAAATGCTTCCGGACGGCAACATCCGCATTCCTGTGATATTGACATTAGGCTTAGCAACACTGTCAACAATAATGTCAAAGCGCGAAAATTTGAACAAATTAAAGGTAAATTCGCTAAAAGAAATAGCTCGCGATCAAGGAATAGAAATTAAGAAGAAGAAAAAAGAAGATCTAATTAGAGAAATTTTGACTAGCCAAGTGCCATTGATCGACTTAACACCGGTGACCAAGTCTAAAGAAGTCCTAGCAGAATGTATCTCACCTGCAACAGGAGAAAACGAGAATTTGCCACCTTATAACGCTGTACATTACAAGATACATGACCAGTCACAGATTCCAACCATTTCATTTTCTGATATATATAACTTCATGATTCTGAGACCCAAATCGACAGGATCAGGAGGTAGTGTGAACAATTTTAAGGGGTTGGACAGAGCAGTGAAACATTTTGAAGCTGGCCATGTCCAGGAGATTAGCGTGTCAGAGGTAAACAAACAAGGGTTTTGTTCTGTTAAAGACATAGATCTAAATCCAGTACTCCTTTTCAGTGATAAGTGCACATAGTTAATTATTTCTGTCGAAATTCTGCTACAGTAAGTATTTTATTTTTATAATTTAATAGTGGTGCTCATTTGTACTTATTAAGTATAATATGTTCATTTTCATATTTGTAAATGTTAGAATTAATAAATTGTGTTATTGTTACAATGTTGCTGGTATGTTTAAAATACTCTCTATTTGATTTTTAGATAAATACTACTATTATATACATCAGTGCCAAGTGCCAGGCTTCGATGAAGAAGCACCAATACCAAGTTTACATATGTTTGTCTAGGAATGGACAGTCTGTGACTAACATACATCATGGATATTGTCAGTGTCCTGTGGGGTATGCATATTTTCAGAGTTTTATGCAGACAATTTTTTTTTACTTCATTGATTATAACTTGATCTAAAATCTATGATATTTTTAAAATAGGCTAGGCCAGAGCTGTAGCCACATTGGGAGTTTACTCTTTGCGCTGAGTCATATCAAGCCCCAGGAAAGCTGCACAAGTAAGCCCTGCAAATGGGTAGTACCCAAAGGAAGATCTAAAAAACCCACTGGTAAGTAAATTTTTTTATAGTCAGATTGTTAACAGATAACAAAAAACATATGAACTTTGAAGCTCTTTAACTGGCAAGTAACATAAAACCAATATAAACAGGTCCATTAGAAACCTTGAGGTCAAAAGCAGATAAAATGGACACTGAAACCAGTGATATAGAGGATGCTTCATTTGACCCTCGCCATACCACAGACAGAGACTTCGACATAAATACTACATTGCTTCAACTGAGAAATTTAAAGGATATTTTCCCAAGTACAGGTACAGCTAGGTTTAAGAAGGAAAATGTGAGAAAACAAATTTTTAAATGCCGAATTACAATTTACTTAAAACGTGATACAAACATACTCCAGACTTTTAATTTCTATGATTCTCATGTTATTGAACAAAATGAAAATTCAGGTATGAGCCATTTGTGGAACATCCCAGATGATGCCCCTGTAGCTGAGAGGGAGATTGAGGTGGAGACATATGAGGATCCATTGGAAATGGCATCCAAAGCATTGATCTTGTCAAATGAGAACTGTAAGAAAAAATAGGAATTACATTGTATATAAGAAAATATCTTTTATATGTTTCATGAACATTAGATTCATTCATATACATATCATTACAGTGCCAATCCCAATTTCAATTGACGAAAATTTGAGCGCCTATGTTGAAGAAAGAACTAAAGGTCAAAGAAAATGTTCTCTTTGGACCGAACTACGCAAAGGAAGAATTACGAGTTCTCTTTTCGGAGCTGTTTTACATGCTGGACCTAACCCACGTAGTCTTGTGGACCAAATTATACATGGATCCAGTTTACAAAGGTTTAATGGAAATTAAAATATTAATAAAATATTAAATATATAAATAAAAATAATTGTAAAAATTCACATTAAACAAATTAATTCAGCATTTCAACCAATTTATATTTTTAAATATTAATTATTCTATACATCACAGGTATCAGACGCTTCCTCGTCCAGTCCAGTGGGGTGTGGACCATGAGGAAGAAGCGGTCAGAGACTACCTGACACTGCAGAATGCTGTCTCTGATGTAACAGTGGAGGCTGCAGGGCTCACTATTTATCCATCCCATGCCTTTTTAGGTGCCAGCAGTGATGGGTGGATTTGTGACAAGTCTATGCCACTGGGGAGTCAAAGAGGGGTACTTGAGATTAAGTGCCCGTACTCAATCTCTAATGAAATAATTGTAGAAAAAGAGGTATTTTTCATATTACATTGTATTAATGTCTTTCATTTTGTCAGTTTTAAAGTTAACATAATTTTTTTAACATTTTGTTTATACTATTTATATAGGTCCATGAGCTAGCCGGAAAAGAGGGGTTCTGTCTGGAGAATACACCCGAAGGACCGCGTTTGAACCGTAGCCACAAGTACTATGCTCAGATCCAAGGAGAGATGGCAATAATGGGGTGTCCTTGGGGTGATTTTGTTGTTTGGACAGCTGCCAAGGACAGCAACTGTTTTATAGAGAGAATTGATTTCGACTCAGAGTTCTGTACTCGTATGATGCCAAAACTAGTTGAATTTTTTGTTCACCACATCTTGCCTTTTTATAAATGTACTGAGAATTAATTCACTTCCTGAGCCAATGGCTAATGTGAGCATTACCTAATGATCAAAAAGTGTTCAGCTTCTGTCATCTGTAGACATTTGTTCACATTTTTGAATTTTTCTCCATCCACTGGGTGAGTTACTTGCCTTATTAAAGGATCCTTGGGTAAAGGGGAGATAATTAAGAATTAGTGTTGATTAGGGGGTATCAAAGTAATGCAGAAATATAAAGGAAATGTCTTTTAAAATCTTTTTTTCAAGAATAGCAAATGCATGATAATTAAGTCATATTAATCCAGGTAGTGTAGATTTAAGTATAGTTTTAAGTTCAAGTATATGGTAAGACATGCATAGATTATTGTAAAAAAAAAATCACATTTGCACCTATATATAGTAAAAGTGAAAGAAAGGAAAATCAATATGGAATCAGGTTATATTTATTTTTCAATGTAATTTTTTTTCACATTACTCACATTCCTTGCTGTTATGGATTTTTTTGTAACATAAATTCAAATTTGATTTAAAAGAACAAAATATTATTTATTTTCATACATTTAAATCTGTTCAACTTCATAGACTGCATGAGTATGTAGTATACTGTTCAAAACATATGGTATCTGCTAAAAGTATAAATGAGATCAACATATAACACAAAAATAATTTAAAGAAAAATTGAGTTTTATGACCTTTTAAATTTTACTCTCTGTCAGTATGATTAATCCATAATTTTTGTGTAGAACATTTTTTAGGTACCTTAAATATAAACAAAACCTCCTATACTCAAAATATTTTGAACACAGTAATTCAATCATTTGGAATTATAACAACCAGCAACACCAATTGCAAGTTTATATTATGTCAAAATGTATTCTAAAAATTTTGTTTTGTGTAATTTTTAACATTTCATTCCAGAAACCAATGCCATCCAATGGCATGTAATTCATTGGGCTTTTCCATTTTAAAATACAAAATGATTTAAAGGCATCATTTCAATCATAAGATTTTTCTCACAATAGGTACTTCAGAACCAATAGAGAAATGGACATTATTTTGTGTACATCAAAGAATTTCCAGATAATATCAATAGGTTGATAAGGCTCTCTTGAATTATATAGTTTATAAAACATAGCTTTTATTATGGTTTTTTGTACAGGTTAGGATATACAGGCGGTGGATGAACCTTTTTGTAAGAACATTATACAAATACATATGTATACTGAAAGCCTTTTTATAACATTGTTATGCAAAAATTAAAATTGAAGAGTTGCTCCCCTTTAGACATCTCATTCAGTTTATAGAAGAAAATATTAAATACTGGTTACATTACTTATGATACCAAATAATGTTAACATGTATGAGTGATTTCTTAACTATTTTCAAAATATCTTTAAAAGTAACACAAATTGTGAAATTGGCAATTCAAGAGATTTTCAAAATAATTACAGGATACTCTAGTCTACTCTGATATCTCCATTGTAGGAATGCCTGGCAAGATGCCTCATATTTTGTGAGGAATCTTCTTTCTTTGTGTGAAAGTTACAATTTAATAATTCAATGACAAGCTGTCTTGAGAAAAATTTTATATTAGTGTGAAAATTGTTGTCAATATCTAAAATGAATATACATCATATATCTAGACTAAGTGTATTCCAATTAAAATTTGATACATTGAATTTTGTTATACATTGTATATAGCAATGACAAATTAGTTATTTACCAGAGGAACATCAAGATTTGTGAGCCAACATACAACTTGAAACATTTTGGTCAAAAGAGGCTTAAGAGTAAGTGGCATAACACCATCAAAGATATGAAAATTCTTTACTCTGCCTATGCTTCTCTCAACATGAATACGCAGAGAAGCGATATCTTGGGTTTCAAAAACTTCATCCGTAGAGAACTGTGGTGCACTTCCTCTAAAGGGTGGAATGTTTAACTTGCATTTCTTTTTCTCCAACAAATCCCTAATGGTAAAACCTTTATCAGCCATAACACTATCATTTTCATCTAACAATTCAATTAAACCTGAAGATATTGTGAGTTCTCTATCAGATGTTTTTCCAGGCCAACCTTCAGATACAAATGTTATAACTCCAGATGGACTAATACCAATCAAAAATTTGGCAGTGGTATGGTGCTTGTAATTTGAAAAAGTTAAACTTTGGGTGTCAAGACGAGATGATTTTTGTATAAAAATTTCTGTACAATCTATGATAACTCGAACTGAAGGATATCTGATTTTAAATGAAGATGGCATAGTTCTTTGAATAATATCTCGAGACGGGAAAGGGTTTAAACATTTCAATTCTTGCCACAGTAGACAGATCCATGTAGAAAAATATTTTGAAAAAGTACCCTCTGAAATTTGAAATCGTTCAGCAATATCGCTGGTCAAGAGTCCAACCTTCAGTCTAATAAGAACTGCAAACATCTGATCGATGTAATCCAATGCCCCTGCTGATGCTCTCTTGCGGTCAGAAGAAATATCTGTGCTTGTCCCTAGCCAATACTTCATTTTCTCTGCCTTTGGTTTTAGAAAGCTAAAAGCATGCAAAAAATTTTGTCAGTACATGTACATGCAATTTCATAAAATTATGAAAAAAAAGTTAAAAAACTGATAATAAACCCCATCGTCTCAAGCCACGGTCCGGAGTCCGCATATATAGCTATCTCCTACCCGTGGCTGCTTGATCACAAAAAGAGTCATATTCTTGAATATTTAAATTTACGCCTCTCTATTGTGATGTCATATTCAGTCAGTGGCCAATACTGTTTCCATCGCAAATGAAATCAACAAATGATGTCAACAGTATACAAGACATATTTCCTATACTGCGATTGGATATTGAAAGGTCGCAATAAAGTTCATCATCCGACTATGCTTTACTCGCATTGGTCAATATTTTAATGAGCTACAAAGAATTCTTTCCTCGTTCAACCAAGGCCAGAATGGGAGAGGATATCGTACATTTTGGCCGTGGTTTGTGACGATGAATAAATCTTTGCAGAAGTAATAGTAAATTTTTATACATGTTATAAACATACCTGAATAGCCACATGAATACAGCAAATGTTGGAAGTCCAGTATAAAAGCGGGTCTTGGAATCATCATCTGTAATTTTCTGGAAACTCCATTTATGTTTCTTCACTTCTATTTGGAGGTCTTTCACCTGTTTCTTTAATGAGTCATTTTCTGCCATCAAAGGGTCAGTGTCACACTGCATACCTATGGTCAGTCATGAAAAACATGTTTAAAAGAAGTGTAAAAATGCCTTGTGAAATTATTGTTATATAAGGGCAAACATTAAAGCCATATATGGCGTAACTGATCAAAAAAATATATTTTTGAAAAATACAAAATTAAGTGAAGAAATTTAGTTAATACATTTAAATTAAAACTTTCGTACAATTCTGAACACGGAGAACACCTCGTTTCAACTAAAAATACGATTTTATCTTCTCTGTAATGTGTTATTTAAATATTTTGTATTTTCTTCCGAGTCGGAGAAAATTCCGAGAATCCAAATTAAATTGTGATATGTTTATAACGCAATTGACATAGATTTTGTAATTTACGGAAAAGTTCTATCTTTATTTAAAGTAATGATACAAATATTAAGTTCTTATAATTTTAGTCTTATAATTTTCATTGTACATACGCCATATATGGCTTTAATGTAAATATATACTGTATACAGGGTTATTTTTCGCCCCGTGTTATTTTTGCCCTTTCACATTTGGAAAGAAGTTTGCCCGGGCATTTTAAAATTGCTCAGAAAGATTTTTTTAAGATATTATACTATTTTAATACTATAAACCTAATGTATATTAGTTTTGTGTATCTTTTTCCTTCTTTTGAATTTTTTTTCCAACTAATATAGAGGAATGTGTCAAATAAGAATAATAGATATCCTCAAAATAGAAAATTTATTTTATATTAAAACTTAGCTCTTTACCTTTCTCTTTGAAAGTCTTGATGTTAACATCATCTACAGGTAAATCTATGCAAGAGCTGTCTGTAAAAGGTGGGATATCTTCATTTGTTGTTCCTTGGTGACAATAGCTGTGAGAAAACAAGCTAAACCTGAGATGCTGCTGTAGAGTCTGTGTTTCTCTTTCCTCTTGCTCATTTAACTCCTGTTTAAAGGAAAGATTTATGAATTTGCAGTTGTTGGAAGAATAAAGACATATAATCATGGGAATATAAAAATATTTGATCAATGTGAATTACTATGTAAAATTTTTCCCCAGGAGGTAGTGGGGTAATAATGCTTGTGGTCTAGTCATACTTTTGGAGTTAGACAAGAGTTGTGGAGTGTGTATATTAGCAAGGTCCAGGGATTAAACTACAAGCTTTAACAAATTTTAACTATCAGTAATAGTAATTTAAAAAAAACATATTTGACAACATTAATTAGTGTTATTTCAAGTATATAACCTGTAAGAATTAGGTAAATAGTATGGTGTCTGATAAATTTTAAATGTCTAAATATGTTTACTAGTATGTGGTACTACATAATTATATTGTGCAAGATGCACTCACACTTTGACCCTTTATAATTGCAACAATATACTTAATTAAATGTACATGATTGTATAATTAAGTAAAAATAAAAGGAGAGATTTCAGAAAATAAAAAACACATTAGGTAAGGGATAAGATAATGAATTATTTACAATTAAATAGGGCAACAAAGAACCTTTAGACAGTATCCATACATCATAGTGAGCCCATTTAGCTCTAAACAAAGTACTCAATAATGAACTTATTAATTAAGTAAACTTATTCATAAATTCACCTGAAGTAAATTTCTTTTGCTATGTCTGGCATTGCGGGCAGTCTCCGACTTCGACTTTGGCTTTATTTTATATTTAAATAAGGTTGGACGATAGTTCTCATCTGCAGGGTCGTCACTGTGCCATGATTCCACAAAATGTTCGGAACAAACCCTGCTGTACTCATTTGGAGACCAGTTATCTCTATTGATGGCCCCAATCCAAGCTGCTCTCTTCTTCCTGTCTTTAGGGAAGCGAAAAAAACTCACACCTTTCTCTTTGGTTTTACTTCCTTGTCTGTTAGAACATTTAAAAACGACGCATTGTATTACCATTGTTTACGTTGCTAATGTAAACTCTGGAATGCCGTCCGGAAACATTTATACGCATGCGCTAAAAACAGGACCGCAGTTAACGTGAAAAGGCTTATTAGATAAAGTTACAGGTGTCCAAAAAAGGGGCAACGGCACTATATATGCTTAAGTGGAAACATTCTTTCCCTAGGCAGGGACATACATGTTTAGGACTGGGTGTTAAAACATTTGTTTCTCATTGTAATATACTGTCATGTCACCTTATAATTCATTTACTTACATCACTTTGATATAAAATATTATATCAGAATTAAACAGTGACAGTGGTACACATTTTAAATTGTTATTCATAGCATTTCTGAACTTGTCTTAACTGATACACATGTATAACATCAATTAATATGTATTATGCTATCAGAATTCCAGTTGGCAGCAACAGAATCACTTGTCTTTTTAAAAACTCAGCATAACATACACATAAAGTCAACACATGCATATGATTAATCACTGATATATCAAATGTTGATGCTTAGACATCCATTAATCCAAAATGGTGCCTTAATTAAGCTTAGCCTCATCAGTATCACCTCTCAGACTTTTTTCAATGCTCTGATGACAAAAAATCTTTAAAAATTTCAATAATGGTTTGTCTTAGTATAAATAATACACAAACAATCCTGATGGTTTTTTTTTTCATCTGCTGTTTTCTTAATGGCAAGGGGGTCTTGTTTTTCTCAAGCTGATATGTGGATTGTAGAAGATTATTTGGTCTGCTCTGTAGACTGAAGATTCTCTCTGTTAATGATGTAGTTCTAAAACTTTACTGCACAGCTGATTTTGGTAAAATCTTTAAAATCTATAAGTATGCAACACAAATAAATGTAACAAGTGCTTCCTAATCAATTAAAAAAGAAATTTCAGAAGTATTGATTTACTTCAAATATTACTTCAAGTATATACTAATTTGCTTGGGTCTCTATAACAGCTTAAAAACATTGATGTAAAGAATAAGTGGCTCAAGAGATTTTGATGCTTTGTGGAAACATTTTCAGATACATTTCTCTTTCTCCATCATCAATTGTAAATCACCAAACTAACCGAAGCTCATATTGTGTATATATATATATATACATACACACATGTAGCCTGTTGAAATTCACTGGGACATTCTGTTAAGACACTCGGGTGAAGATTCTTTTGTTTCCTCGTGTGTTTCCTCGTGTGCGTCATCATTGATCCTGAATTCAAACAATATTTCATTAAAAATAAATAATGGATTTGACTTGGAATTTTTTGAATGCCTTTTAAAAACAAATTAATTTACAATTAACTATCCTTAGTCTTTTTTTTCTTTTACCAACACTAAATAAGTACCAATAATGCTCATAACAAAAATAACAATTCATGTTTCATTTTACTGAATCCTCAGACAAGTTTCATGCGCGGATCTAGAGGGGGGGGGTCGGGGGGGTCAGGACCCCCCTTGGAATTTACCAGGTTAAAAAATGTATATACTAAAACAAGAAAAAAGTTACAATGGACCCCCCCTGGAAAACGCTGACCCTCCCTGGTGAACATGAATATTTGTGAAATGGGTATGAAAAGTGAAAGATTTGAGGCAATAGAAGTCACCACTACCCCCCCCCCCCCCCCCCCCCCCCCCCCCCCGAAATAGCTTTTTGACGAGTTTAGGTTTTTTTTAATTTTTTTAATTTTTTATATTTTTTTGCTTGTCAAGAAATTTCTGGGATTGGATTCTTTTTTCTGACTGGGGTGGACCCCCCCTGGAAAAAATTTCTGGATCCGCGCCTGAGTTTTCATAATTAAGCACTTTACATTGATATCTTCTTGAATAATGTATACAGGATTTAAAACGTTATATAAGTTTTTTTCCGCTTAACATATACTTTTCTAAATCAGTAAACTTACCACTCATCTTGATACTTTAAAAGTAGTCTGCCTTTCTTGATTACTGACACTGGTGCCTATCATGCTTATACAGTCAGTATGTCATGACCCTCAAATGCTACAAATAAGATTCAAAAAGCTATACACTAAAACAGTACAGATACAATCACAAGCATTTTAAAGATAATTCAGAATATATTTTTGCAGCATTAACTCTTTCGAGAACCTATATTCAGTTCACCGAGTCCACTTTAGACCTGTTTAGGTCTAGTCCGAGTACTGCCTAAGTTCAAAGTTTGTAGATCACGATATTATTGTACGTGAACTTATATTGCATAATCCATATATTGTTCGCTTTATTTTACCCCTACATTGTCACATTATCACTAACTTTGACATAAATATACCTGAAAGACTTATTGTTTTAAAGGACAGTCGTTTTCGGTCTTACACATAACATGACTTGATCAGCTGTTTATGCACATAAACACTTACTTTTTCGTGTTTTGGACTAATAAATGAATAAATCTCACCTTGTAAATTCTTTCCGGATACCTGGTATCATAATTACATTTGACCTGTTCATGAGACTTCACAATTTTCTGCAATACAGCAGATACGTTACGTTTAACGATGTCATCTCGCAGCATCCAACAGCTGTGTTTTGTCGGAGTTAATGGCAGACAACTTTTCCGCGAATCTGATTGGCTGTGTGGAGATAGCAACTGCGTCACCCGTGACAATGTGGAAGCGTGAATTGGTTGCTTTTGTAAAGTTTTAAGTCCCAATTGCATGCTACTTTTCTTTTCCTTTATTATAAGTACAGACCAGGAGAGCTACAGTCTTGACAGAGACTTCTGGTTTTTTTTTTATATGTTAAAAGTAAAAGTGAAATGTATAGGATTTTTGTCATGAATGAATTAACTGCTTTCTGTAACAACAGCATTCATCTGTCATGAACACAGCTGACCAGCGATTGTATATGCACCAGCTTTTAATTATCTGGAGGACGAAAAGGGGATGTCTGTATTTTTGACATCCGTCAGCGACAGCTTGGACACACCTTCCAAGCACACGATGTACCAATCAGATGTCTAGCCTTGGATCCAGAAGAGGAGTACTTTGTCACCGGGTCTGCTGAGGGAGATATGTTTAGGTCAGTAATGAAAGAGAATACAGAAAAGTACAAGCACCAGACAAAGATTTTAAAAAAGGTCCCCTGGAAATTACTAGTAAAGTGCTTCATCAAGGCATCCTGCCACTGGCAATTGAACCTGGCTGACTCCCAAACCTTTTGATCAGAGACTAAAGAATTTTCTCATTAAACTTTATTTTAAACAAGAGAACACACATTTGATGATGTTCTAAGTGCACACACACACACACACACACACACACACACACACACACACACACACACACACACACACACACACACACACACACACACACACACACACACACACACACACACACACACACACACACACACACACACACACACACACACACACACACACACACACACACACACACACACACACACACACACACACACACACACACACACACACACACACACACACACACACACACACACACACACACACACACACACACACACACACACACACACACACACACACACACACACACACACACACACACACACACACACACACACACACACACACACACACACACACACACACACACACACACACACACACACACACACACACACACACACACACACACACACACACACACACACACACACACACACACCACACACACACACACACACACACACACACACACACACACACACACACACACACACACACACACACACACACACACACACACACACACACACACACACACACACACACACACACACACACACACACACACACACACACACACACACACACACACACACACACACACACACACACACACACACACACACACACACACACACACACACACACACACACACACACACACACACACACACACACACACACACACACACACACACACACACACACACACACACACACACACACACACACACACACACACACACACACACACACACACACACACACACACACACACACACACACACACACACACACACACACACACACACACACACACACACACACACACACACACACACACACACACACACACACACACACACACACACACACACACACACACACACACACACACACACACACACACACACACACACACACACACACACACACACACACACACACACACACACACACACACACACACACACACACACACACACACACACACACACACACACACACACACACACACACACTAGATTAGTGTCAAGTGAATAACCTGGCAGAGAAGAGTTTGGGTTGGTTTCTTTGGGGGAGGGTGGGTCAGGTACATGTATATATGAGAACTTTAAAAGTACTTGGACACAGATTTGAAGTCAATATTTTCTCTATCATATTACGACTTATATATTATAATAGCATTTTACACAAAAATTAATTAAAAATGTTATTTCGTTTAAAAGTTTCAAATTTTTTGGCGGGTTTGATTGACACATCCTTTAAAGCAGGGGGATTACAGCAATCAGGAAGGTTCAATATAAAGTGATCAGATGGGTGGAATGATGGAGCATCTGGCTAGTGTCTCATGGGCCCTGGTCTGCTGTATTGCTTTTTTCTCTGCAACAGGGTTATAAAAGAGAAATACACTGGAAGAACTATTGTATGTACACAAGATTTATGACTTATATATATTTTTCAGGTCTGGGTTTTGGATGTGATCATCAGCTGGTTGTCAACTTCCCAGGAGAATTAACACAGTAAAAGTACATTTTTTAAGAACATTGGTTCCACCTCAGGTGTAACACAGGTAGCCATTGGGCCAGAACATAATCTGTTTTCTTGTGGAATTAATGGATCCATGAAGTTCCGATCACTACCTGAGAGAGAATTTAAGGAGGCTATAGGTGGTCAACAAATTATTTTTTTTTATGAACGACCAGACATAACATATTTTGGGCTATGATATCTTAAGCTATCATTGAATTTCATTTGGCAAAG